GAGATGTAACAGAAAATAAATCAAGGTATGATTGCATACACTGTGCGTGTGATCTAGTAGTGTCCGATGCTGCCCGACGTACATATATGAGAACGATCACATGATCGCGACTGTTGCTTTGACCGTTTTATCCAATTCCGACTCTCAACTCGAATAGGGCACGCATGTTCCATAATTCAATCGAGTCACTACAGAAGAGAAATTTACTTAGGAACGACAAGCAGCAACACGAACACAGTGGAAGGGAAATAAATACCGACGTCGCGGTCACATGATTGAAGCGCGATGCTGTACCATGCAATTTGCCCAGATTTATTGCAACCGCGACAGCGGGCGAACGTACGCAGAGGCACAAAGCACCATGATCCATGGACGCGGCGAGACGCGTCGTTGCGAGGCAGCCACCGCGACAATGTGATGGTGTCCGTAGTTTCCTTTCTTAGCTGAAAGAGTCCGGCTACGCAAAGCGGTGGCATGCCCCGTATGGTCTCCTTATTGTTCTCCAGGTGATGGAAAGCAATGCGTCTTTTGCTATGGCCCTTCACTTTCTCTCTCCCGATGCTTCATTGACATGCCACTCATGGTCTAGGGGCCCAGTGGAAAAATGGCGGACCGGAGCACTCTCCACACGTCAGCCTCGGTACCGCAACCAGCCTCGTGGCGTTGACGAATCCACCGGCCGGTTGACAGAATGATGGGATCTGTAATTGCTATAATGGTCTCTCAAAGCGCTCAAAGCGATATAAAAAGCGACACACCTCGCTTTCTCTCTTGTTCTCCAACCACCATGTACCCACCCCCATCTCGTCTCATCCACGGCTATGTGGTCTCACGTTCCACTGATCCTCATCCTCTTGGCACTTCATCGAACACATCGGCGCGGGCGCTTACCTTTCACAGCTCTTATCGACGGCCATCTCAAGAGCAATGGTGGTGTCGATGCATACAGGCATGTTCTCCACCGTGTTTGGACATCACTCACCATGGATGATAGATATCCTCATTGCCAAGCATTCCTCAACCCACCTGGATAGAAAGGTACGTCGACGCCACATATTCTGACAGCAAGCTCATCGCCCACCCAGATCAAATACGATGACCACTGCCCCAGCTCCAGCCGTGTGTGGTCGACGGGGCCAACACCTGTCCACCCCGCGTCCGTAGCTCGGCGTTGCCAGCCCCAGTGGCTGGCGAGCGAGCGGGGACAGTGACCAGTGAGGCCCAGGTGGCACACGAACCGGGAGTCGCCGACCTCTCCGCCCCGCACACGCATGGTATCGTAAGTCGAGCCCATGGGGTGACGCCCCGTGTGTAGACTCGCAGTTGAGCCATGTCGACGTCGGGTGCGCGATGTTTGGCCAGATGCCACTCCTACCGACGGGCGGCCTGTGCGGGTCCGACAACGCCACAACCCGTTGGTTCGGCGGCGTCGCGTACAGGGAGCCACGCAGCACCGTCACTGTGCGGCTCGAGACACTGCGTATCGTCGAGACGATGGCCAACACCTGTCCGACCTGCACAAGAAGGTAACGTGCAGCAGTGAGGTCGGGCTTCATCCCCCGCGCAGTGTCTCTCGCCCACGCCCACGATGAGGTAGAAAAGATATGTGACCACCCTTTCTTCGAGCACTGCATACTGACCACTCACCAGGGCCCAACGATCTCGTCCGACCCAGCCGCGCACGCCTGTCTCCCAACATGGCCTAGTGCTATCCACCCCACGCTTGCAGCTCGGTCCTAAAGCTGGAGACGGGAACGAGAAAAGATAAGTTGTCATTGCACGAGACAACCACACGCTAACGTTCCTCGACAGCACCGCCTCTCCCGCCCCCCCAGCCTGCACGGCATGATCGCCCCCGATATGGCCAATACCTCTCGGTCTCATGCTCCAGCTCGGCGACTATCGGTTCAACCCGGTGAGCGAGTAGGGATCGCGTCAGTGAGGCCGGGGTGACTTGCCGTGCGGGCTGGGCAACACAGGCCAGCCTCTCCGCCACACCCATGCACGGTATCGTAAGTCGGGCTCACGGCGGTGGCGTCCCACGTGATGACCCGCAGCTGAGCCGTGTGTGGAGTGTGTGCGCGACGTTGGTCTTCATCGAGGAATGGCGACGACAAAGACGAACAAACGGCGACGACGAAGATGACCAGACGGCGACAGGGAATAGCGGCCTGTGTGAGAGTACTCGATGGCAAGAATGTCGCGCACAGGGAGTCGTGCAGCACTGGCGGAGCCGTGGTGCTTAAGAATGCACGACTCGGAGCGTGGTATGGGATGATGGCCCGCCACGTCTTTTCGCTGGATGACCCTTCCCCATCTCTCCGACACACACACAAAAACAAATAAAAAATAAAAAAATAAAAAGGACGAACGACATTGGGATAATGTAAGTCAATTCCCTGGTTCTGATGGCGCGCTGACGACCTCGGCAGAATTAAACATCAAGAAACGGAAACAATAAAAATTAAAAAGTGAGTACATCCTGCGCCGTCAAACGTCTCAACCATCGAACTCACCTTCGCACAGAAGAAAAATAACCCCCCAAATAACCCCAAAAGTAAACGAATAATAAAACCAATGAAAAAGATAAAAACACCTACTTATCGCCATAAAAGCGGAAGCTCGCTGTCCATCAAGCCCAGCGAGCGCTCGATGAGTCGTTATTTCTATCTCACATAATAACTTGACTAACTTTTCCTGCGGTTTGTACCGCCGTGAGTATTCCATATTTGTCTTGTTTTTACGACGGCCACTGACCATTTTGGGAGGACTTCTTCGGGTGGGGGCGTGTGTGGGGCGGGGGGTTGATGTACGTGTGCGGGTAGTCGGGATGTGAGTTGCGAGTTTCGTGATGTGGTGGCTTGCAATTAAGAAAGAGCAGAGCACGCTATTGAGAACTAACGTACCCAAAATGTCAGCTTTGATCATCTTTTATTGGCACCTTTCTGCATGATAAGAGTGAGGTTAAAGGTGTCCAATTAGCCACAAAAGCGGGGTTACGGTCCAGTGGAGTCCACAAGCTAAGGCTAGCGCTCAACAGCCGCCTCGTCGTTCAGCAAATCTACCTTGACCTGCTATGTTCCTGTGCAGGCCTTGGTACTTCACACTGAACATGCCACAGGCGTGGGAAAACACCTGCACACGAAAAACGGGAAATCTGTGGCTGTCGCGTCACACAATGTCGGCTACAGCAGTGCACCTGCATTCTGGGACTGTACGCAATCAGACGGCATGACAGTCCAAGTGCACATAAGTATCAGATGCTAACACTCGAAAAATACATTGGAACGCGCGATGGTGATAAGATGAAACAAGACAGAAGAAAAGAGAGGAGCGAAAAGAGAGGGTTATAATACAAATATAACACCATACAAACCGCGCCACATCAGCCGTGTCGTCGAAGAGGCTATCGCGGCTGCAACGGCGTTTTCTAGGACCTGGCCGCCGCGCTTTGGCTGACCCCGCCACGCAACTTCACCCGCTATGTTGCTGGCCTATTCGACGTTGCCACTAAGACCTACTCTATAACGCCGAGGTGGTCTTCTTTTATAGTACCGATAGCAAACTGAACATGCGGAGATGGGATGCAAATGTATACACAGAAACACGGGGTAGAAGGTACTCACGACTTCGGTCGCATCGGCACGCGTGCCGACGATTTTTAGGCGTACCTTGGTGTTTTCTCGACGATCTATGGAATGCGTCGTGGAAAAAAATGTAGAGTAGGCCATGGCCGCCGGTGCAAAGGAGTGAAGGGAAGGTATGACTGAGCAAAAATAAAAAGGAACACAATGGTCAACGCCGACCTGCTCATCCGAAGCGAACGATGGTGGATTTTAGTTGGGGTCGAACTTCAAGTCCGGGTGTATCAGCTGCGTAACACAGATGCGAGCAAATCAGAAGTGCTCGGCGAAGAGCGATGCACAGACTTGTTGTGAGACGAAGACTTGTAACGGGCCCATGTTCACAAAGAAGCCCATCTACACAATGACCCATACACAACCATCAGAGACTAGATACGACGTGATCGCCAATCGAACGACATCGCACCTTTGTAACGCGATCCACAATCCCATCCACGACCTCGCCCTTGAACGGCTTAAAGACTACGGCGCGGTGTCTGGTAATGAACTCGGCCTGGCCGCTCCCGCTGAGCACAATGCCTTTGCCGATGTCGATGAGGCTGACGACGGCAATGATGTAGCCAAACTGGGCAGAACAGGTCCCCTCAGCATCCGCGTACAGCTTCGACTCGAGGAAGTTGACCATCCGCGGGCCGAAGTACGAGGGTTGTAGCAGGATCGTGTGAGTTAGTTCTTTCTATGTACACTCGTCAACGTGAGGGATCATTCGTGCGTGTGTACGTGTGCGCGTCGGTGTGGGTCCATCGACGCATGGTTCAAGAGCGTGTTGTTGTTGCGTTGGAAAGCGAAGGTTGCAAGTCTTTGTCAATGCAAGACAAACCCATGTGGATGGTAGACGGGTCCATTGCGAAACGAGGACTCGAAGGTAAAACGCGCACGCGCACGAGATGGTATTTTCAGACTCACGATAGAGAACATCCTTGCAAGTGGAAGCTGCATTGAATGCAGTATATTCAAGTCAGTCCAGCGTCGGATGAACGAGCACAAGCCAAATCATTCAACATTTCTTCGTGTCCCGGATCCCGATGAACTCGTTATTCGTGTCACAAAAACTGGAGAATAGCGTTCCTGCTCGAAGAGGAAAAAACAAAGATAGAGATGACGATCTGTGGGATGGTCAGTATAAGAGGTATGAACGAAAGGCCTATGATGCTTGTATGCATCAGGCAAATGCAAATTAAGGCTATCATCGATGCTATCCCCTACCCATATATTACTATTACTTGCTGGCTTTCATGACAAGTTAGCGAGAGGCCATACATAGCATGAATCGCGCAATGCGAAGGTTTGGCAAAACTGCTCACAACATTTAAACACCAACTGTGGCAAAGAAAAGGCAAAGATGCTTAGGAGCATTGGCCATCCTGGGGATCGAATCCAGGAACTTCGCGATATTACACGATGCTCTCTAACCGACTGACCTAGAAAGCCCTACACTTCGTAGATACGATGATCAGCGCCATGCGCACCTGTATGTAAGTCTGAAGTCCACCGCTACTCACCACCGAGGACGACCGCCGTACTGTGTAAACCTACCGTATGTACCAGGTAAGGATTCAGGAACGCGCCATCCGCTGGCTGAATATACATGCAATATAACATTCCCGATGAACCTACGAACGATGAAGGATCCACTAAAACCAAACGTCACCAAATGTCCCGGACGTTGTGGGGGCATCTGTGCTCTGAGGCCACACTATGCGATCTCACAGCCAGATCGCACTGATCTTTGTACTCAGTTGACCGTAAACGTTGAATCTATGCGAGGAAAAACCTATATTTGAACCTCCCGAATTAAATAGAAAAAAATAGCACGCGCACGAAGATAATTGCTCGGATTCGCCGCGACATCGAGTAGCCGGTCGTAGAGGGATCCGAGTACTTACAACCTCAGTACACATTCCCTGCCCAGTCGCCGCAGAACGTGATATCGAAGATGAGCGACTGCACAATGAAGTGGCCGGTGATAATGCAAGTCATGTTGGTAAAGATCCGCCATCGGCGTACCCCACGTAGATGTCGAACAAGGGTCTGCAAGGGCCAGACGTCCTGGTGGGCAAAAACGATTGGTTAGAAGATTGATCACCGTGAGGCCATCATGAAGATGTCATATCGGAGCCCACGGATTTTCTCATTCCACGCTGGGAACCTGGTGCCAACCCCGATATTATTTTGAGGATAAAGATAAAGGGTCCTTACCCCGAGTCTTCGTACGCTCCGCAGCTCTTTCTCTCTTCTTCCCTCCTGCAAACACTAGCTGCTACCACGATGTGGGGAGGATACAGGAAATTCGACCCACTCAAAGATATCCCAGACCTCTCCGGAAAGGTCATACTCGTCACAGGAGGCGAGTTCCTTCTGACCGACGGTTCACAGAACGGCATGCTTACCAACTTGTACAAACCCCAGGTAACGTAGGCCTGGGAAAAGAAACCATCCTCCAACTGGCGCGGCACAACCCTGCCCACATATACTTAGCAGCGCGTACGCAATCCAAGGCCGAGCAGGCAATAGCCGACATCAAGAAAGACGTACCAGATGTGCGCATCACGTACCTGCCACTTGACCTCACGTCCTTCGCATCGATCAAGAAAGCGGCAGACCTCTTCCTCGCACAGTCCTCCCGACTCGACCTGCTCATCAACAACGCCGGTATCATGGCGACACCGCCCGGGAAGACGGCAGAAGGATACGAGATCCAGTTCGGCACAAACCACATGGGCCACGCACTCCTGACAAAACTGCTCCTCCCCACACTACTCGAGACCGCGAAGCAGCCTGGTACCGACGTGCGCGTGATCAGCGTCTCGTCTAGGGCGCACAATTTCGCGCTGTACCCCATCACGTATGACCAGGACGAACTGAACAGCCGGTTTGCGATGTCTCGCTACGCGATATCGAAGTTGGCCAACATTCAATACGCACGGGAGCTCGCGGCGCACTATCCGCACATCACCTCGGTGTCGGTGCACCCGGGGTCGATCAGCACAGATCTATACAACAGCATGGAGAACCGAGGTTTCCTTTACGGAGTCGTGATCCCTTTTATGAAGTCGTGGATATGGGCGAGCGTACAAGACGGCGCGAAGACACAGCTGTGGGCGGCGACAGTCAGTAAGGATAAACTTCAGAATGGGGCATATTACGAACCTATCGGAGTGAAGACATTGGGCAGCGAGTTTGCGAGGGATGTCACAGGATCGAAGAGGCTGTGGGAGTGGACGCAAGAGGAGTTGATCGCAAAGGGATACTGAATTTTGTACAAAGAAATCTGGCTTGGAAGCTGTACGAGGGTGCACTGTAATTTTATGACTCTCTTTCCATGACGTGCTGTGCTCGACGAACCCTTTAGAGCTCCAGGAGGCGATGTGTAGACATCAGAAATGGCACACCTGTTCATCTGGACCCATATGGCGCCCAGAACGACGACAGGAATCCGTTACTGGTGGCCGCAAGCAGGAAGGGCAAATACACGACACGTGAATGAACGGACAGAAGTATGCGCCTTCAATGGAATGTGCAGACCTGTGGATGGCGTGCGAAGAACGTCGCTGTCGTCAGCTGGACTAACGTGCCGATGCGCCCTAAATACGCTGTTCAAACAGACCTGTAGATTATGAATAGATAGATCATCGTAGCGACTGTGTACGTACCTCTCTACCGCGATGCCGGTCGAATTCGCAATCCCAAGTCGATTATTTACCGCCACTAGGACGCCATTAACAACCCCCCAGCTGCGCTAATGGGCCGCCGTGTACATCAGGTAAGGAATATCATGCTGCATTGAGTACGCATAGTACAAGCGGCCAGAGAAGGTTCGATGAATCCATTAACAACTAATGATCTACTAAAACTGGCCGCCAGCAAAGGAATGCTATTTAAAAAGTGCGCGAGTCGCTGCACGAGATACGACCCATGCTGTATGTACAGTTTGGCTGCGGAATACGACGGAATAACGGATATTTGCTCACCTCAGTATGCACGAAGACAGTAGAACGAGACGAGACTGAGGTGATAGAGTGACGACTCAGCGTACAATATAATATGCATGCTAGGGCATGACTGGCGGCCGCCCGCCGAAGCGAAAGGCACGGAGGTCAGACGCATAGTGCAGGAGGTAGAACTAAGTTCTAAGTGTGTGAGACTAAAACTGTGTAGATTATGTATCAGGCAGTCCAGAAGAGAACAACGCCGAGCAAGAAGGTATCGATAGCAGAAAACGCGTAGTTCACGTCGCGACGGCTGATGCAGATGATGCAGCCATCACTCGCGAGTATCGTGTGACCGTGGTATACTGAGCATGCCTGTCGGCAGCAAGGCGAAACTGGTGAAAAAGGAATGTTTACAATGCCCTGGAGAAAAATCTGTGCTTGATACCTTTGTCAGACAAAAATTGGCACTACAGGCCCCAGGGTGAGGCTGAAGCTAGATGAGTAACTTGATGGACAAACTTGCCACAAAACGGCCCAACTAAATATAACAGGGACGTTCCAAGCTGCCGATTCTTCGATTTAACTCGCGATTTATTGCGAGTTCTGTAGAATCGACGCCAGAATCGACGCTAGAATCGAGGTTGGGAAGAATCGGCAGCTTTGAACGTCCCTAATATAACTGTGTACTTTCATGAGTCATTCTGCGACCGCACTCCCGTCGGCATGTGTGAAACTCGCCGCCATGTAGAGCTATGTCGACGCCGAACATTGCGGCTGAATCTATCATGTACAGGGAGTATTCAAATATTCAGGCACTGCATAGATGTCATATCAACTCTCTGATATTTCAAGCCATTCATAAATATGTACATACGGGATTTCCTACCTCGAGTCTCCGGGTCCTGCGCATCACTGTCCTTCACTCCTCTAGGCACCACCTATCGTCGCGATGTGGGGAGGATACAAGAAATTCGACCCTGTGAAGGATATCCCAGACCTCTCTGGGAAGGTCATACTTATCACGGGAGGCAGGTGGCCGAAATCCAACACCACAAACAATGTACTTAACTTCGGGCACGTGTTTCAGGTAACGTAGGCCTAGGAAAGGAAACCATCCTCCAACTGGCGCAGCACAACCCTACGCACATATACTTGGCCGCGCGTACGCAGTCCAAGGCCGAGCAGGCGATAGCCGACATCAAGAAAGACGTACCAGATGCGCGCATCACGTACCTCCCGCTGGACCTGACATCCTTTGCATCCATCAAGAAAGCAGCAGACCTCTTCCTCGCTCAGTCTTCCCGACTCGACCTGCTCATCAATAACGCCGGTATCATGGCGACACCACCAGGAAAGACGGCAGAGGGATATGAGATCCAATTCGGCACGAACCACATGGGCCACGCGCTCCTAACAAAACTGCTCCTCCCCACACTACTCGAGACCACCAAGCATCCCGGTGCCGACGTGCGCGTGATCAGCATCACCTCTATAGCGCACAATTTTACTCTGTTCACCATGACGTACGACCAAGACGAGCTGAACAGCCGGCACCCAGTCTCGCGCTACGCATTATCGAAATTGGCCAACGTCCAGTATGCGCGAGAGCTCGCGGTGTGCTATCCGCAGATCACGTCCGTGTCGGTGCACCCGGGCGTTATCAGTACGGATGTGTTTGACAACTTCCAGAACCTAGATTTCCTTCACAGGATCGTAGTGCCTTTCATGAAGTCGTGGGTGTGGGCGAACGTGCAAGACGGCGCGAAGACACAGCTATGGGCGACGACAGTTAGCAAGGATAAACTTCAGAACGGGGCATATTACGAACCTATCGGCGTCAAGACCTTAGGAAGCGTGTTTGCGAGAGATAGCAAAGCGTCGAAGAAGCTGTGGGACTGGACGCAGGAGGAGTTGATCTCAAAAGGTTACTGAATTTGTGCTCTGTTCAAAGACGTATGCGACACCCGTACGCGTGACACAATCCGTCGGACAGAGCAACTTTAATAGACGAAAAAAAAAATATCATACCCATCGTTGGGTTGTGCGTCGACATGTATTATGGAAAAGGACGAGATCTGCGGAGTGTCATGCAAAGGGCGTGTCTCCGCCACCCGCGGCAGTGATGCGCTGATACTATAGGTCTTCGACGGGGCGTTCATACAAGCTTATACCTAGATTACGAACCGATCATCATCATGGCGATTTAGGCATTTGTACTTGTATACGTACCAGCTCTTAAGCTTTTCAAGCACGGTGATCAGCTCCATACCCTTAGAATCTCAAGTCCACCACGCACCGGTACCGCCACTGAAACGCTGTGAACGACGGCGCACCGTATAAATCCGCCGTACGCATCAGGTACTAAGAATTCAGTAACGTACCATGCCCTGGCTAAGTGCATATTATGAACCTACTAACCATGAATGATCCACTAAAAGCGACCGCCAACAAGGGAACTCCAAAAATCCTAGACGTTGTGCTCGTAACCGAATTCCGGAA